CTTAAATCCATTAGTTTGTCATGATTATAATAGCCTTAAAGTTGAGAATTTATTGATACAGTTATGGAAGTATTTCAGGATATTTACTTATTTAACTTCCTTCCCTTAAAATGGAGGAAATCTGCTTTGTACTGATATTATAGGAAAACAGGATAAGTTTATTATGATATATTTGAATATCTCACGAACATTTACGCCCTAACTTCATATTAATTGTAAACATATGAAATTCTGCCAAGAAAAAAGTTTGTTCCCATGGATTGTTTTCATTACATTCATTTTTCTTAGACACCCCCCCCCCCCCCTAAAAAAAACATAAAAATAAATAAATAAAATAAAGTAAGAAATAAAAAAGCTGTAAGCTGTAAGTAAAACTTAAATGGCTTTCATGCTTTATGCAAATTGAGTATGAATATTGTTGCTACTAATAATATTACTACTGGTGTTGCTGGGCTGTTATTGTTACTGCTCCTGGTTATTCTAATTTGTTACATATCTCCATCCCCTTTCTACTTTTGATTCGCTTATAATTAGAATAACATAAAAATAAGATCATACTTGATACATGATAATAGTTTAAGTGTTTGGAAGTTAAATAAAGCAAATCATGACTCTAGAGACGTGCTGCTAACGCACGATAATTTGAGAACGAACTGAGAACAATGCATGACTGTATGTTTAAACCATGTTAACGTCTTTAGGAAAAAATAAAAATGAAATGCTGAATAAACAAAACAATTGTTTACAGAAAAATGATGAATAGATGGATAAGAGGGTAAGTCGTAAGGCTTTTAAATAGATGATATCTAATAGATGCAACTTAATGTAAGAACATTTTTAAGACGGAATATTTGTAGCATTTATATCTTATAGCACGGATTTTTCGTCTAAGAAAGAAATAAAAATCATAAAAATATCTTTCCAACTTCCTGTGCAAATTTGAAATTAAAAATAATATACATCTTCACAAATATGCATAAACTATCGATCATGAAATTCAAAATGTTACCTACAAAATTTCAGTTTTACTTAATTCAATCGAATAAACTTAACTTTTTAATTAATAATTATTAAGGTCGGAAATTGAAAGAGAATCGTTCAGAAAAAAAAACCTGTTAAAAACAAATATTCTGTACCGTTCAAATAATTCGTACTTTTAGAATATTTTAAGGACCAAGCACTCATTAAATTAAGGTGTATTTGTTTGCTACTATTACTTAATGTATTACTAAAATTTTGCAGTAATCAACATTAATATCTTTTTTTAAAGCTATAATTACTTTGATTATCAGTGTTCCAACTTCTATTTTTTTAGGGGTATTTACCTCTTACCTTTGAAAAAGAGGGGGGGGGGGTAAATGAAAAAAAATCAGGGGGTATATAAATTTGTACAGTATATGAAGTATGCTCAAAGTGCAAAAATTGTTTTATATATCGTGTCAATTATCATGATGAAATAAAAAACTACTTAAACTTTGTTACAATAAGGAAATAAAATGAACCTAGAATACAATAGAGAAACGTGGCAAATTTTGAGTTTGACATTATTCATGTCATTATCTCTTACATTCAATACTTGATGTTATTTTCATTAAAATTAAATTATATTTCAGATATTTCATTTAGTAATACATGACATTTCATTGATTAGATTTCCCCCAAACCCATGGTAATAGCGACGCTATGGCTTTACTTAGCATAAACTCAAAATATGGTAAGGTTAAAGAACTAGGGTCACCACTGGACTAAGGCAACTACTGTTTCATACACCACCCCAAAAATAACCACTAACGCTGTAGGGGGTGGTGCAATATACAAAAGTAAATTAGCAAACACACAAACAATATATATCAGCAGTTGATTTACATTGGGCAAAGAGTGGTTAATCGGATCTGTGTGTATTTTACTCTGACAGCGTTTAATTTGCGTGGGAAGTCGCCTACAACAGCACCAGTGACGAATATCGTCAAAGTTGCATTTTAATATATGAATGATCGGCAACTATCAATTAGTCTTTGCATATGTAAATTATTCTTGTATATAACATTGAACTACATTGTACATAAGGCTCTGCCCATGGACATGACCGTCAGTTCAAAGAAAAAAATCTGACAAAAGCAATGATAAATATCTAAGAATTGTTGTGGTGTTCAACCTTAATGTCTTAATCAATTGAACATTGTGTACACAAAGGTCTCTCGAATAGTAAGACCGGTGTACACAATGTCAAATTAATTATTTCCTGTACAATCGGAACATCCTCCTGACGGCTCGGGTGATATAAAATCTTGACAGGTAATATATCCACATATATCACTCCAAAACCAAAATAACATATAATTTATGTACAAACCTTCATATTTTTATTAGGCCACTAAGGCAAAAGAGTGCAGTCAATGATGGGGTTTTTGTTTTCAAACTTAAAGCAGCATGCCTCTAGATGCATGCTAATTTTATTTCAAAAAGAAATTAAATGTAAAATATTGTGAAATGAAGAAAAAGTATCATTTACACATTAAACATTGCAAACCGCACTTATAAACCACGTTAGGTATCAACAAATATTTAAAATTATGCAAAAATATTCTTAACTGCGTTAGTTACGCAGTAAAAATATCATGATAAATACTTCAAAATCGGCCATTAATGCCACAAAAGATGTATACTATTATTTGAATCTTGATTTGTGTGTTTTCTTATAATCTTAGTACATTTTTTCAAGTGTTTCTTGAAGATGGATTTCTTAAAATGTTTTAGCACATCTGTAGGCATGCAGCTTTAATTGTATTGACTCTGGTTTATACACAAATAAGCTAGCTTTTGTCCTTTCTCTATTTCATGTCTTCTATACTCTTGAAGGTTGGTGGTTCTGCTTTCCAGCTCCTGCATGAAATATTGCATATAAGGAAACTTTAAGTTTTCTTCCACCCACCAGAAAAGCTAAAAGGTCGCTAATATTTTGTAAAGGAGAGTTTCAACCCATTAAGTTAGATAGAAAAAACAAAAGATTTTTGAGTTAAGTCTTTTTTATTTTCAAACTATTCGTGATTTGACATTTTAACATTTCAGCCAAGTAATGAAATGATTTTGTCGTCATATTGTTGTTGTGTTTGTTCCGTTACTTTACTATAAATTTTATCTCCATTACTAAATATGTATAAAACAGATTATCATTCGCTCAATATTTACACCACCAACCGTTATTCTATGTGTGTTTTTCTCTTTTCCTTTAAGCTTGGAATACTGTCAGATTTAGCCAAATCAGAGTTGTCTTTTAGAACTAGTCGCACCACGTCGTGTATATTTCAATATGACAAATTTCAAATAAACCTGGCTGCTCCGAGAATATTTGACTAACAAAGTGCATTGGGTCACAGTACTTTCAGTGAATTTAGAGATAAGAAAAGCAGATCTAAAATTTTGTTGAGGTCTGGTATTTATGTATGTGAATAAGAAAAAAGCGAAACATGCGGCAACGTTGATGCTAAGTACAGTAAATATTTGCCAATGTTTGTAACGACTGTACAGTATTTGTGACATAAATGAGTAAACTCTGACGGTATATATGGATTTGACTAGAGTTATTATGAAAAGGCTAATCTCATTTTAAATATGTGAATATGCTGTTGTTGTTTTAGTTCCTTTCTGTAATGTTAGGGCATGTGCAGTAAGACAGCTTTAAGATATGTTAGACATTTGAAAATATAGGACGGATCTTACGTCCTATTACGTCGTATCTTTGGCACATTATATTTTAATATATTATGAATTGATAATACTGCTTGTTATGCCCGGTAATGGGTCAATAAGTACAAATAAAGTTTAATGTTTTACCAATCATGACCTTTGTTTTTGACCTTAATCTTTGATATAAATACACAAACGAAAAACAAACTATTATATACTAAAAATGACCTTTATCTTTGGAAACAACATACATAATTATAAAACTAAATATACGAATACGAAAATTTTATTCAGTATTAAACATGTTAAAACAATGTTTATAGTCTATACAAATATAAAGTACATTGTGAACAAAAACATAGAAAAAAAAGTAAATAAGAAAATGCTATTTTTACATTATAAATCGTCCAGTTATCACCAGTTATCAGAAGAGATTGTTTAATGAAACGTTATTCTAATTTAAGAAAGATAAAGAAAGTATCATGATAAATGACCTTTGCCTTTCATTAAAACATACATTTTAAGCAAAATTGTTTATACTAAATACGACCTTTATCTTTGATAAAAAATACATATAAAACAAACCGTTATATACTAAATATGACCTTTACATTTTAAAGAAAATACTATATACTAAATATGACCATTATCTTTCATAAAAAACATACATTTAGAACCAAACTACTACATAATAAATATGACTTTTATCTTTAGAATTACGGTTCTTGAGTAAACGAGAAAAAATGAAAAGGCTTTTTCTGTTTCTACCTTATCTTTGATACATTGAAGTATAACAAGGGTTGTAGTTTTACTTTTAAATGAACGTGTACAAGTGTAATATAAAACTGTAATTAAAAAGGGGTTAAATTGAGGCCAATCTGCATTATTTATAGGTAGCGCCTTGCATTCATTTCTTTAAATGTTTTCATTACCCCGATAACCGGCGAGGACGCAGTGCCAACAGTAATAAGATACATGCATTCTTAAATATACGTATATTTAATCGAAATTTACTTTTGTGTTCGAATCGATATTTTTCATGGAAATATTCACCTGCAAATAAAAGCCGAGTTGTATATGCTATTGTCGTTTAAGTTCTGGCTTGGAACCGTTGTGAGTTCGTATCTAGAGTTCTGAAATTTATCAGGCTGCATGGTTACTCGTCCAAATATATCTTCATGTACGAACACAATAATGTTAATTAATCTGATGCTATATTTAACATGTCGAGTGAGATAACACAATGATGCGATATTGTGACATTGTGTTTACATAATTATACCAAGTAAGTAATATCAAAGTATTTTAACAAGTTCAGGAATGAAATTGTTTAATAGCTATTCACAGAATCATTTTTCATTTGTTTCATCAACATGTTTGATAATATTTAGTAATAATTGATTTACAACTCGTTTGAATCCTATGCAGGAAATAATGTGTTTATTTATGGAGCAACAACCCGGAAAATGTGCTCCAAATGGTTGAAGAATGGTAAATTATATTACCAGAGGAACTATCAGACGGCTGAACCCACACGCTCTGTCCAGTTTTTAACACGGCGACAGTGTCAGCTGTATGACAGTCGAGATTATCGTTGTCTTTAATGTATGTCCTAGTATATGCTACACCATCAACCATTATATCCACGTACAAATATTTGTTATTAAACACACAAAACGCTATAGTAAAAAGATATGTTCCGTTTGTTGTGGCCGTAAATTTCCCTGTCTGACTGCTGTAGGCATCTCCTTCATTGAAGAGTACTACAGGAAACACTATAACTTGACCTACAGGAGCGGCAGTGTGAGCATTTAGTCTTGCCTTGAATGCCACAGTTGGTGTCACAATCTGATCTGAAATAGCATCCAAATTAAGGTTTACAAAATGATGTTTTAAAAAAGAGGATATTGAATGAGTGCACACTTCGGCGAATTGCTAAATCAAATCTTGATTAAAATATAGATAACGATTAATGCGTCTAATTTCATTTATTGCTTGTATGCAAACAAAACTTTGTTGAAATTTATTTACGGGAACAAGCATAATGGAGCTGGTGTACATGGTCACCCAGCAAACAAAAACTGCAAACTGAAACTATATCATATATGACTTTGTTTTAAATCTATGTTATGAATTTCAGCTCGATACGACAATCATAGAATTGTACCTTCTCTTTATTGGTACAAGTTTCTTTATAATTATGTACTTAAATTAGAAGATACTGTTGTGGAATTCAAGACTACATAATGATTATGATGAATAACACCCTAAGTTCCCTGAAATAAGGAAAAGGCGACTGGGCTAAACAGGTCCGAGTGCGATACAACGAGGGTGCCTTGAGGTTATTGACCACTCGTGTTTTTATTTATAACCTATATTCGCTCATATTGCCTAACAATATAGATAAAACATGATAACATAAATATTTTTCCGACAGATTAAGGGCTTCAATACTCTCAATACTCTATCTATTACAATGTACCGTGGCTTATGTTTAATTTTCGTTTTTAATTACAACATTAGTACAATACCATGACGCCAAGGAAGGACAAGAGATGATGCTGTGTATTATTTTCGCTGTTATTTAATTTAAGGTAAAATTATTTATATTTTCATGAGACTTTATTGAACAAGTTAAATAAAATCATATTATTCGAGCCTCTGCCATGTTATATTCTTTTCAATGTCTATACTGTGTTACGTTATCATTATACACAGCACTATGACTTGTCTTACCTTGACATCAAGTCATTTTAGTCATAGGGCGTACGTTGCCGAGTGATTAAGGTCGTTGACTTAAAACCACTTTCCCTTCACCGTTTTATGTTTGATTTGCGCTAGGATCGAATTCTTTCATGTGAGAAAAGCTGACGGTACGTCTGTGGTTCTACTCAGGTGCCCGTCAGTGTCTTAATTAATATACAACTAAGTTATTCCTTTTGTAAAGCTGGTTAGTAAAATAAATATGGCCCTTATACTGTTATTGTAGAACGCCCCCCCCCCTCCGCCACACTTACACAAACAATAAATTTAATAAAATCTAAGGAAATGTTCGGAGACGGACGACACGTATTTGTATGTTTTTACTCAAGAAACAGTTCTTTATCATTTTTAATAACTTATATTATAAATCAACATTCCTTTAGGTTTAAGTCAATCACCTGTACGTATAAATCAATCTTTTTATTTTTTAGTTTACTTTTAAAAATATTGATATTTTAAATGTTACTCTGCTTTGATCCTTATTGTCAAATAGCAGAGACTTTTTAAGAATAATACTAAAAACATATACACATAGATAAAATGTCGATTTAAAAATAGATTTACAGAAGTTGACAGCTTTGATCATTTTTGAGAAGACAATTATTGAAGTTTAAGAAGACATAGATTATCTTTTTGATACTTCAATTAGTAGAATGGTCATAGGTACAGAATCATATATGTGTAGACATCAACTATGAACTACATAGCAATGGTACGTTCTTAAACAGTCATTTGAATGAACCAAAATTTATTTTACTAATAAGATTTACCTTTTAAAATTTGCAGTTCTTTTAATTTTGTATCAATGATCTTTGACGTTTTGTTTTGTAGTGCTTCGATTGTCTCACCAAACCTTTCCTGTGTTGTTTTAATGCTTAATGTATGTTTCGCCTGTTTTTCAACCATTTCATTCAGTTTACGGTCAACGCTTGTCACTTTTTGTTCCATTTCAGATTTCATTCTCTCCATTTGAAATTCCATGCGAACCATTTTCTCTAAAACTTTCTCTTCGAAATCATATTTTGAACAGTGCGGTTCCTCTGACTTTGCATATGTCAGTAGGTAACTCAAAAAGAAAATTTTACAAAATGAAATTCTCATTTTTATGTCCAAAGTGTCACAAACGTATCTTACAATGCGAACAAGTTTAGATAATCAGGAAGAGGGTCTAGTATGAGGGAAGCACAGGAAACATCAGTCTTATATACCACAAATTTAACACCACGAGGGAAGTTTAAAAAGTACAGTCTTAGCTTATTAGTTCATAAGTGCTTTTCATATTAATTTTGTTTGTTTGTTTCATTTTACGCCTATTCCCAGTAACAGTATTTCAGTCATATAGGCGGAATTAAATTTGTAGTTCTCAAACAAGGTTTATCACACACCCGTGCCGATTTTGCGACTCCGTAAATATGGTATTGCACGGCCGTGCATATATTTTGACGTGACGTCATTAGCGTTATACAAACATAGTGTAAAGACGCGCTAAATGCTAGCGTTATACTATAGACGCGTCAATGAAAAATGACTCTTATTTCACTTTAAACGGTCTTTATTTTGGGTATGTGATAAATAGAATATTAAATTCGTGTAAGTTCATTACTGAATTTATTGCACTCGTTGAATAAAATAATATTATGCTCGCCAGAGGCTCGCATAATATAATTTTATTCAACTCGTGCAATAAATTCAGTATTGAACTTACACTCATTCAATATCCTCTATTTAATAGGAACATAGTTATGTGGAAAAAGCATTTAAAACAGTTGAGAAATTTATAGTCATTCACAATCCATTTACTACAATACATTTTATTTTAAAACAATATGCCTCAGCAATCAATGTTTTCCTTTAATTCTTTGTAATGGAATAAGAGCACGTTAGATATTGAACAGCTGAAAATTAGCCTTGAACATAAAGTTATGTATCGTAAAGGTAGGAAAATATAAACAAAGTAGTATTTTGACTTCCATACAAAATACTAATCCACTATAATTATGCCAATTGCCAAAAGAGCTAAAGGTACAAAAGATAGATTTTGTATATCGAAAATAAGTATCTTTTTGGAAACGGAAACAAGATACAAAAATAAACAGTTTTTGAGGCATTATAGGCTTTAAGAAAAAATATGTCTTACTTTTCTATTCAAGGCACTTATATAGAAGATATCTGTGAATATTACTTCATCAGGCTTATCCTATAAATGCATTAGATAGGTGTATCATTGATAACACTATCTAAAGTTTCTTTTAAAAAGGAATGGATTTGGATTCAGGCATGCAGTTTTAAACGTACGATGGTTTTCAGTTTGAATAAACATTTATAATTAAGACTATATTTTTGGACTTTCGCAATAGTTGCTGCATAAATGCAAATAATTTGTAAATGAATATTGATACTTTTATCTGGAAAAAACGTACATTAAGGCAAATATCCGATATTTTCCGATTGATGTAACCAAGATAGAGAGGGTTATAAATAAAGAATGCATGGGCGAAGTGAAGTTCATTAAAACTGATCAAGCATAGTGATATTGACGTGGGGAAACATTGGCGTAATATTATTCACGAAGCCTGCATGAGAAAATTGACATTCGTGAAGATTATGTAGACGAAATTCTAATACTGCACAGGCGAAATGTTTTCTTCATACAAAACGTCGTGAGCACAATTACATGTATATCTAATAAGGCAAAAGCAATTCACGAAGACGTGTTAAATTGAAATTTACGAAGGTTGCATGGAATAAAAGATATTCATGGTATGTGCATGGCTAGAATGATATTTATAAAGACTGCAAATGAGATAAATTAAGGTTGAATGGGCGAGCGAATGGGCAAAAAAAGTTTTACATTTTACCATCACAGTATTGGTCATATGGCGACTTTCCAGCTTTACTGGTGGAGGAACATCAGGCATCCCTTCCGGTCATTATTTCTGGCACAAACAGGAACCTAGTAAGAACCTGGGTAGAAGCACAAACGTTTCCTGCGTTAGCTAGATAGCTTCATTTCATGGCAAAATTAAAAACCCTGTTGGGATCCGGACCCATTACGGTTACGGGCAAGTGGGTTGAAGTCAAGGACCTAAAACACTTGGCCACGGACGCCCACAAAATGAGAGTAATTCAGTCATTACATCTTTCGATTTCTCAAAAATTTAGCGTATGTATCACTTTAAAAAAAACTTGTTTGTTGTTTGCTTTTATATCGCAGGAGCTTTGATATGACCAGGCACAGTTGTGTAGAACTTACACCTTTCGAGATTATCACATAAACAGGAAGCATTGAAGTTTGCCGAGTTGATATAAATCTACGTATTGGTAACTTTCAGAACACATCCTTGATTGCCAATAATCATATTTGTCGCTTTTCAAACGGGAAGGCCAATGAAAGGGTTAGTATCTTTGGATACTTACTTTTTTAACTACCCTCTAAATTCTGACAATCTGCTCTCAATAACGGAGAAAATTGTCAGAATAACAAGATATGTAACACATGCTAAATATTTAATGAATATCTCACGGATGTTTACGGCGTTACCGGAATCCTAATTGTAAAAAAATAAATCCTAAAATCCTAAATCAACCATGGCATAATTTACTGCGTTTCTCACGGCACATTATCCTTATGTCTGTTGTTTTTTTGTAAGAAATGAAAGGAAATACAGTTAAACCCTTGAACCATTTCCGTATGTCTGTATTTTTTAGGAATGAAAAGCAAGTACAGTTTAACCCTGGAAATGTATTATATAAGAAAAATATCATTATATTCATAAGTGCTTTAGACAAGATAAAGTCACTTTATTAGATACACGGAAATAGTTCTACAATATTTTTTACTACTGCTATTTTACATCTACTGTTTTGTTTGATACCTTGTTTCTACTTTTGTTATTCATACTCCGTTTCTACCTTTTTGTTTGTTACCCCGATTCTACCTTTTTTGTTTGTTACCCCGTTTCTAATTTTTGTTCGGTCATTGTTAAAATTACATTTAAAAATAAAACCCATTAGAATGTTGGTGTATTTATTAAGATTTGAAATCACTTTATTTGATACTTGAGTTTGGAAGGTTCGTAAATATCTAGGCGTGAAGCTTAAATACCCCCGGTTTACTCCAAGATTCCATATGACTGAAAAAAGTCATGCCATATAATAAATATGAACAAGGCAAGGAAAAACAATTAAGATATGAAGGGTTATCGTAGCAAACTCGAGCATGAGAATTTGTCTAAACATTGTTGATATTACGAGTAAATTACAAGATTTAATATGTTTTCATTTAATGAGTTTTACATGTTCTTCGCTCACAGCAAGATGGAATTACACAATCAACGGCAGCCCGTAGGATATTTTACGATTTGTAGACAAAGCTGTTTTTTGTTTTTGAAATGAAAATTCAAAACATACATTATCCTTACAAAAACTGATCAACTTTCTTTGGAATGAAACTAAAAGAAATTCGCAATGTGTGGGAAACATACCGGGGATGACTAACGTTTCATATTATATTGACATTAAAGCCACACGCCTCCAAATTCATGCTTATTTTCATGTAATGTTTAAAGATGCATTTAAAAGTAATATTTTGTAAGGTGAACTAAGAAAGTAATTTACACATTGCAATCGGCACTTGAAATACCAAAGAGGTCCAAATATTCACACAAAATAAAACAAACTTTCTTTATTAGTCACACAGTAGGAACATTCAGATAAATACTGCAAGATCGGTCTTTAATCGCATTTAACATGTAAATTAATACATGAATATTGAATCCAGATACCTTTTCTAAAATCTCTGAAAAGAATCTCAAATTTGATTTTCTTGAAATACAAATGTATTTTGGCTCATATGGAGGCAAGCAGCTTTAAGAGGGCCAAAATATTGTTTTTGTCTATGTGAGTAGAGTTTAAGTCATAAATGCTATTAAAGTAATATAGTGATTAATTATGTTTAATCGTGACGGATGTGTAAGTGCATGGGAAAACTTTCTCACAAGTACACATTTGTAGTTCCTGTTAGGCAGTGATCGAGTGACAAGTGGTTTAATTAAAGCTGGGACATACGATAAGTTATAGTATGTCCCAGATTAAAGTCAGCAATATAATTCACACAGTCATGAAGGACGTAACAGACTGAAAGTTTGAAAAAAGTGTCAGACATTCGGTTTAACAAACCCTTGAATTTTGTCATACCGGTAAACAATCTGTCAGACCGACACATTTACAGCTATGAAAACAAGCCAGGTATTAAACATTTTCCCCTTTATTTCAATAATCTTCAAATTAAACTCAATCCCTGTTATACAGCATCAGTTTATTTTAGTTTAACAGGTCATCCTGAAAGTCTATCCTCCTGATCTGGATTGCACAGGATGTCGAATGCCCTGTTAAATTAAACGTATGATAATTCAGGATCTTCGACAGCAATAATACGAAATTTGAGCATCCAGATTTAAATGTATTATTTCTTAATTTTTTAACATTTTACCGGCACTGTCGTAGAAACATTCCCGCCCTTTCTTCCATTTGCGTTTAATCTATCAAGCATGTTTTTATGCTCATTTTTTCTTTTCTTTTCTTTCTAACTGCATTTATTTTCTCCTTTTTCTAGGCAATTGTAAATTAATACTACGAGTATGCTGTTCTATAACGCCGATTGTACGGCTATCAGCCATTGGTCTATTTCACGATATTGACCAATGAAAATAATTTTTACATAACCCGGTTTTCAAGGAAGAGTAATCTCGCTAGCAACAAACGAGGAAATTATCAATATTTGTCTCCCTAGCCCCTGAAAAAAATTATCGGACTGAAAAAATCGTCGGACTGTGTGAAAACATGTTGGTCGTAGCAGCTATTGGCGAAGGATCAAAGTATGAAGTCTAGTTTCTAAAAACAAAAGAGCCAAGATTGCCCTAGATCGCTCACCTGACCAATCATTTCATTATAGTTCAAGCGATATCAAAAATATCAGAAGTAGGTAAGCTCATATTAAAATGCAATTCAGCATTACAAAATTACACCCAGGATCTAAATTTCAAATATATATGTCAAAACACAAGAAAGTAGGTCAAATGACACCAAAAATATCAAAAGAATGTCAGACAATACCAAAATTCATCTCAGCATCAACAATTCAGAATTGGTCTTGGTCCAAATTATATGTCTGTATGTCAAAAACCAAGAAAGTAGGTCAAATGATATCAATAATATCAAAAGTAGGTCAGCTGGTATCAGAATTCAATTTGGCATCAGAAATTACACCCATGGTCCAAAATTCAAGTCAGTACATCAAAAAACAAAACAAGAGGGCCATTAAGTCGCTCACCTGTATATAGGCCCCCAGAGCGGGGCCAGTTTTGACCCAAGGGCTTTTATTTGAACAAATTTGGTAGACAGTATCTAAACTTTAGCTATTTGAGTTTTTTCAAAGAAGATTTTTTAAGTTTTTTGCTATACACATATAAGGAAAATCAATGACCCCCGGGGCGGGGCCAATTTTGACCCCACGGCTCTTATTTGAACAAATTTGGTAAACACCCATTAGAAGATGTTTCATGCTAAATATCTTAGCTCTAGTTCTTTGGGTTCTCTAAAAGAAGATTTTTAAGTTTTTACTATATGCATATAGAAAAAATCAATGACCCCCTGGGGCGGGGCCAATATTGACCCCAGGGCTTTTATTTGAACAAACTTGGTAGTCATTCATTAGAAGATGTTTCATGCTAAATATCTTAGCTCTAGCTCTTTGGGTTCTTTAAAAGAAGATTTTTTAAGTTTTTGCTATACACATAAATAAAATCAATGACCCCCGGTGCGGGGCCTATTTTGACCCCTGGGCTTTTATTTCAACAATCTTTGTAGACACTCACTAGAAGATGTTTCATGCTTAGTATCTAAACTCTAGCTATTTGAGTTTTTTCAAAGAAGATTTTTTAAGTTTTTTGCTATATGCATATAAGGAAAATCAATGACCCCCGGGGCGGGGCCAATTTTGACCTCAGGGCTCTTATTTGAACAAATTTGGTAGACATCCATTAGAAGATGTTTCATGCTTAATATCTTAGCTCTAGTTCTTTGGGTTCTCTTAAAGAAGATTTTTTAAGCTTTTACTATATGCATATAGAGAAAATCAATGACCCCCGGGGCGGGGCCAATTTTGACCCCAGGGCTTTTATTTGAACAAACTTGGTAGACATCCATTAGAAGATGTTTCATGCTAAATATCTTAGCTCTAGCTCTTTGGGTTCTTTAAAAGAAGATTTTTTAAGTTTTTACTATATGCATAAAGAGAAAATCAATGAACCCCTGGGGCGGGGCCAATCTTGACCATAGGGCTTTTATTTGAACAAACTTGGTAGACATCCATTAGAACATGTTTCATGCTAAATATCTTAGCTCTAATTCTTTGGGTTCTCCAAAAGAAGATTTTTTAAGTTTTTTAACTATATGCATAAAGTGAAAATCAATGACTGGGTTTTTTTTTTTTTTTTTTTTAAAGAAGGTATTTTAAGTTTTTTCTATCGGTTGCCAAGGCAACCAGAGTTCTGCATGGAATTAAATTCCTTGAACAATTTTCAAAGGTGACCACCAAAGGAAACTTCCTGGCGAGTTTGGATGAAATTTGTTTAGTGGTTTATGAGGAGATGTCATTTAAAGTAAAAGTTTACGGACGGACAGACGCAGGACGAAAAGCGATCACAAAAGCTCACCCTGTCACTTTGTAACAGGAGAGCTAAAAAGTACATCAAGTGATATCAAAAGTAGATTAGACGATATCACTATTTGATTCTGCATCAAAAATTACACCTCACCTCTGGTCCAAACAATATAAATATTGAAAGTAGGTCATTTGATATTTGACATAAGAAATTACATTTATGGTCCAAGTCAGTTTGATGACAATTGATTTAAAAATGTGACATCTAGAGTGTTAACAAGGTTTTTACATATTTAGGCGGTGTGACCTAGTTTTTGACCCCAAGTCCCATGTTCGAACTTTGGACCAATTTCCAGGATATTTTTATCAAAACAGCCACTAGATTGTTAAGATGATTTTACTATTTTTTTAGCTCCTGTGACATAATTTTTCATCTGAGATGCTCCATGTTCAAACTGGTCTATGCAATTGCCTATACACACATTTTGACAAAGTTTGATGACAATTGAATAACAAGAAGCGCCGCAATGCGACGAAATTCAGGTTTTCAACGACCAAGTTTTGATGCGACAGCATTCAATAGGTCAAAGTGCACTGAAGTTATTGAGTAGAAGCTGAAAATTATATTGTAAGCAAATGACCTTGAACTTGCTCCCAGATATGTAAGTGGCAATCCAAAGCTGCCACTCAGCAAGTTTGGTGAAAGGTCAAAGCAAACTCAATTATAACACGAAAAACGAAAACTAAATACATTAACCTTGATCATAGACACATGGGTAGCAATCCCAAGCTGCCTCTTGATATAAGCTTCCCATTCATCAAGTTTGGTGTCAATAGGCCAAAGCAAACTCAAGTTATTCAGCGGAAACTGAATTATATTATTAGTAACAGTGACCTTGACCTTGATCACAGACATCTGGATAGCAATTCCAAGCTGCCTCTTGATATAAGCTATCCATACACCAAGTTTGGTGTCAATATGCCAAAGCAAACTCAAGTTATTGAGCAGAAACTGAATTTCTATTTTTAGTAACAGTGACCTTGACCTTGATCACAGACACCTGGGTAGCAATCCCAAGCTGCCTCTTGATATGAGCTATCCATACACCAAGTTTGGTGTCAATAAGTCAAAGCAAACTCAAGTTATTGAGCGGAAACTGAATTTCTATTTTTAGTAACAGTGACCTTGACCTTGATCACAGACACCTGGGTAGCAATCCCAAGCTGCCTCTTGATATGAGCTATCCATACACCAAGTTTAGTGTCAATAGGCCAAAGCAAACTCAAGTTATTGAGTGGAAACTGAATTTCTATTTTTAGTAACAGTGACCTTGACCTTGATCACAGACACCTGGGTAGCAATCCCAAGCTGCCTCTTGATATAAGCTACCTACACACCAAGTTTGGTGGCAATAGGCCAAAGCAAACTCAAGTAATTGACCGGAAACCAAAAGTTGACGCCCGCCCGCCCACCCGCCCGCCGACTTCGGCATTACAATAACCCGGTTTTCGTTGAAAACCTGGTTAAAAAATGTGACAACTACAGTGTTAATTTTTGACCCAAGGTGACCCATATTCATACATGACCTAGAAATCATCAAAACAAGCTTGAAGACCAATTTCAAGGATATTTGGATCAAAACAGTACCCACTAATGTGTTAACAAGATTTTTCTATTTTTTGCTCCTGTGACCTAGTTTTTCATCCCAGATGACCTACGTTTAAACTCATTCGAGCAATTACCTAGGCAAGCATCCTTACAAAGTTTGATGATAATTGAGTCAAAAATATGACAACTAGAGTGTTAACAAACAAATAAGGACGACATACATTCAATGGTCCTTTTAGCTCACCCTGAGCTAGCTCAGGTGAGCTAAAAAGGGAGGGGCGGTGTTTTTACGAAGGGAAGGGGTTATCCTTAATGATTGAAAAACAAATGAGACAAGTGTTCCAGAATGACATCTGGGAATTATGGCATGTATAAATATTATCTATAGTGTTGGAATATTTTATCTTGTCAACTTTCATATGTATATACAATGAGCCAATCACAAACATAGCGAAATAGGTATTCCACAAGTAAACCTGTCTATATCCCTTGTGCTGCATATGTGTAACATTTTCCTTTACAAATACAAAATGTATATCATTATGTAACAATTTCCCTTACAAATATATCTGTCATTAACCACCGCGCTGCATATGTGTAACAATTTCCTTTACAAATATATCAGTCATTAACCACCGCGCTGCATATCTGTAACAATTTCCTTTACAAATGTATCTGTCTCTATCCCTGGTGCCACAAACGTTTAACACTTCACAAATATGTCAGTCTATATCCCTTGTGCTGCATATGTGTAACATTTTCCTTTACAAATACAAAATGTATATCTTTATGTAACAATTTCTCTTACAAATATATCAGTCATTAACCACTGCGCTGCATATGTGTAACAATTGTCCTTTACAAATATATCTGTCTCTATCCCTGGTACCACAAATGTTTAACATTTCACAAGTATGTCAGTCATTATCCAAGCGCTGCATATGTGTAACAATTTCCTTTACAAATATATCTGTCTTTATCCCTGGTACTACAAATAAGAAACACTTTACAATTATATCTGTCGTTATCCATGGTGCTGCAAATGTGTAACAATTTCCTTCACAAATATATTTTTCTCAATACATCACATTCAACTCCTACATGTTTACAAGTATTCATAGTAACACTTTCCATATGCCAAACTTTTTCTTATCATTTTCACATGGGTTTTTACTCCATCATTTTTTTTTCAGAATAGATACCCCAAAAATATAGTTATGTACTAGTCTTTTCTAGGCACTATCACCTGTTGACTTGCATTCCCTTCATGATACTTTCATTGGTCCTGCAGCTAGGAGAAGATTCTTCCTCGTGAAGTGTATAGATAATACAGGCGTGGCCTTTGTGGCAAATGAGCCAATCAGAAGATTCGGACTCTCGTTACTAAAAATAAAAAAAAATCGTAATAAAAATGGATATGACACAGATTTCTGCAAGAAATGCTCGGGTTTTTTTCTTTCGTTTTGATGGGTTTTAAGTTACTATACTTTTTTTCTATACTTCAAAAAAATAGAATTATATAGAATTGAAAAGCAATTTTATACTTTCAGGATAAAAATTATATAGATGATAAAACTTCCAGGATAGAAAGGATGAACAAGTTTTAAATTTTGCATTGCAGGGACAGAAATGATAAACAAGTATTTATACTTCAAGAACAGAAATGATAAACAAGTATTTATACTTCCAGGACAGAAATTATATACAAGTATTTATACTTCAAGGATAGAAATGATAAACAAGTATTTATACTTCAACGAGTGAAATGATAAACAAGTATTATTACTTCCAGGTCAGACATGATAAACAAGTATTTATACTTCCATGACAGAAATGATAAACAAGTATTTAAACTTCTAGGACATTAATGATTAACAAGTATTTAAACTTCCAGGATAGACATGATAAACAAGTATATACATGTATACTTCCAGGACAGAAATGATAAACAAGTATTTATACTTGCAGGATGTAAATGATAATCATGTTTTAACAATTCCAGGACAGAAATGATAAACAGGTTCATAATTCAAGCAAAATACATTATCCTCCAAAGCTTAAAATTTAGACCTCCGATTGATGCATTGTAGAAACTCAATCATCATGACACTCCATTATCCAAACAGAAAGATTTTCAAAGTCTTGTTTTGTTCATAATTTACAATACATTGTTTATAAAAAATTAAGTCTGTAATCTAGATCCTCTGTATTCCATAAACCAGATGACATTATTCAACTTAAATTAAACTCCCTAAATGCATAGTATCGGGTGAATCATATGACAAGCTCGCCTGGACAAGTGTCTTTACATGAAAATTCAATCATTTATCTGTTGATGCTTCTTAAAGGTGTTAAAATCAACTGTTTTATAACTTTGAAAGATGAAAAATCATTATACAACTGAGTCTAGAAGAAGTCCGGTAAAAGGAGCTTAAAGGCCCAACTGGACTATAAAAGCCAGCAGATGGCGCTAGGGCAGGTTTCTTATTAATTTTATGCATGCTTCACTTCAGGGACCCTTTTTCAAAGATTTAAGATTAATTACCAAATGCATTAAAATAACACTTGGCATGTTTGTAGGCATAGATATTTTTGATAAAGATTGACCAAAATTATTCAAAATATAACTTTGTAAAGTGTATTTCTGGAAAAAAATACTGGCTGTCAAATTTGAAATTTGAATTTCCCTGGGAGGAGCCATGTGATCATTACAGGTCATGAACCTTCAGTAGTAAACAGAAGCACGTGGCAGTGTTTATTTCAGGGAGAGAGATTTGTAGCAGACGATGAGGGAGATTTTCAGCAGACGACGCATTTCAATGCTGAATAAAACAATAACTTTTACTGACTTGCTTTATCAAATCCAACAAATTTACAATAATCCATTAATCTATGATTTTTCTTTTAAATTTCAAAGTACTGATTTAACTTGTATTTGAATGGTTTAAACTTCATGAAAACAGTAAAAGTAACTTCCAGGTATATTTCATTTACACTATATTTTGTTGTAAATATCTTGTAGTCAAAAATTACATTTCACAAATGTTAATCAAACTGAATGTTGCATATGCATAAAATTTTATTCATTAACAGTTTAAAAATATTTTAAATTCCTGTCAAAAACATTTTTAGCAGGTTGTTCCTAAAAGAAATGCCCCATGTATTAGGCACATCTTTTGGATTTTGATATAATTGTCTGACTTGATGAAAGACACATACAGCATTCCAGTGAAAAATAAAAACAACTGACTTCAGACTGACTTCAAACTGACAACAGATATTATTTTTGAAGTCAGTTGTTTTTATTTTTTTCACTGGAATGCTGTATGTGTCTTTCATCAAGTCAGACAATTATATCAAAATCCAAAAGATGTGCCTAATACATGGGGCATTTCTTTTAGGAACAACCTGCTAAAAATGTTTTTGACAGGAATTTAAAATATTTTTAAACTGTTAATGAATAAAATTTTATGCATATGCAACATTCAGTTTGATTAACATTTGTGAAATGTAATTTTTGACTACAAGATATTTACAACAAAATATAGTGTAAATGAAATATACCTGGAAGTTACTTTTACTGTTTTCATGAAGTTTAAACCATTCAAATACAAGTTAAATCAGTACTTTGAAATTTAAAAGAAAAAATCATAGATTAATGGATTATTGTAAATTTGTTGGATTTGATAAAGCAAGTCAGTAAAAGTTATTGTTTTATTCAGCATTGAAATGCGTCGTCTGCTGAAAATCTCCCTCATCGTCTGCTACAAATCTCTCTCCCTGAAATAAACACTGCCACGTGCTTCTGTTTACTACTGAAGGTTCATGACCTGTAATGATCACATGGCTCCTCCCAGGGAAATTCAAATTTCAAATTTGACAGCCAGTATTTTTTTCCAGAAATACACTTTACAAAGTTATATTTTGAATAATTTTGGTCAATCTTTATCAAAAATATCTATGCCTACAAACATGCCAAGTGTTATTTTAATGCATTTGGTAATTAATCTTAAATCTTTGAAAAAGGGTCCCTGAAGTGAAGCATGCATAAAATTAATAAGAAACCTGCCCTAGCGCCATCTGCTGGCTTTTATAGTCCAGTTGGGCCTTTAAAGGGGCAACATTCGCTGCCGCGGCAGCGAGTATTTGTGGGTGTGACTAATCAGTGATGTAAAACTGTCTGTTATAAACCATGTTATAAACCATGAGCTAAAAATAGAATGCAGTGTTAACCTACAGAGAGAATATAAACAAAACAGCTGATTTTACACAGGAGAGGTTTAATGGATGTTTTATATAACTCACAGATTAATCAGATTAATTAAAAGACATTATCAAGCCATCTTGTCCAGATATTATTTTTGAAGTCAGTTTTTTTTTCATCAAGTCAGACAACTATATCCAAATCCAAGGGATGTGCCTTACATGGGACATTTCTTTTAAGAAAAACTGCTAAAAATGATCTTGACAGGAATTTAAAATATTTTTAAACTATTAATATATAAAAAATTTATACAAATGATAAACATTTGTGAAATGTAATTTTGGCTACAAGATACTTACAACAAAATATAGTGTAAATGAAATATACCTGGAAGTTACTTTTACTGTTTTCATGAAGTTTAAACCATTTAAATACAAGTTTAATCAGTACTTTGAAATTTAAAAAAATCATAGATTAATGGATTATTGTAAATTTGTTGGATATAAATACTTTTTGATAAAGTAAGATCAGTAAAAGTTATTGTTTTTTCTTATCATGTATTCAGCATTCGAATGCGTCGTCTGCTGAAAATCTCCCTCCCTGAAATATATATCGTCTGCTACAAATCTCTCTCACTGAAATAAACACTGCCACGTGCATCTGTTTACTACTGAAGGTTCATGACCTGTAATGATCAGTTGGCTCCTCCCATGGAAATTCAAATTTCAAATTTGACAGCCAGTATTTTTTTCCAGAAACACACTTAACAAAGTTTTATTTTGAATAATTTTGGTCAATCTATATCAAGAATATCTATGCCTACATACATGCCAAGTGTTGTTTAAATGCATTTGGTAATTAATCTTAAATCTTTGAAAAAGGGTCCCTGAAGTGAAGCATGCATAAAATTCATAAGAAACCTGCCCTAGCGCCATCTGCTGGCTTTTATAGTCCAGTTGGGCCTTTAAACTTTACCTCTGTTAACTCATATGTTGTCAGGTTTACTTTTTTACCCTAAGACTGTCTTTAGACCCATAAAGTGTGTCCCATCCATATTTTTCTTTATTTCTTTAGAATTTCTAACCTAACGAAAATATGTCATTTTTGCAACCTTAAGATTTTTATTATTCTTTCCAGAAGAGCATTATCAAAAAATCCCTAGAGGTAGTCTTCAAGTGTCTTGGGGGTAATTCAAGTGTCTGGGGGGTATTTCAAGTGTCCTTTGAGGTAATTAGACAAACACAGGTTATTAAATGCTTTGTACTATTTTGAAGAGGCGGAGCAATATGAAAGTTTCCATATTTTATACTTACACAGAGAGGGAACTTGGTATACTAGCGTCCATGTCTTTATCCATTTCTTTGATGACTTTTGTAACATCCCACAGCTTGACACAGTTATCTAATCCTCCTGTATGATAAGAAGATGAGTACATTATTATCATTTATTATATACTTTTTAATGAAATATTGACGAATATTGATGAAATAAAATGCTAATTTTCATTTTCCGTATTTTCACTGTAAAAATTTATTTTTCACTACTGTAACAGTGAAACATATTTACCGTATTTTCACTGGTGTCTTGCCGGACTACTTTCTTTTAAATTCTGCCAGTAGACAAAAATTTAAAGACAATTCTTTCAATTGTAATAATGAACAGAAATTCAAGTTTTTTCTACAAATAAATGATTTATTTTCATCTTGTGGCATGAAAATTATCATATTTCACTCATGGCTATCGTCACTCATGAAATATTTATTTTCATACCACTTGATGAAAATAAATTATGTATTAATAGAAGAAACTTGAATATCCTTTTTTTTTTATTTACACCAACACAGCTAAACAGCTGAAGTTATATGGTGACATTCCAGCTAAATTACTGGTGGAGGGAGACCTCAGGCCCTGAGTTCAAGAAGATTTAAGAATCAGGATCAAATTTAAAAACTCAAAAATTCTCAATTGTTTACCCTCATAGATTAAATATTTAACATTGACTTGATAAATATGGAGTTGACATAGCGTGTTTATGAAATTTTAGGATAAATCTATTGTTATTTTTGCAAAATACAGGCAATTTACAGTTGATCCAAATATTGATCTTGATCCTAAAACTGATCCTTATTTTGATCCGAATAGTTATGTATTTGTTTTGTTATTTGTTGATTTTATCCCAAAATAGGTTGGTTTCTTTGCAAATCAGCCATTTTGTTATGCTTTAAATATGTACCCTTAATTTCTAGCAAAATAAATCAATTTTAGTTTTATAAAACAATGAAGATTAAGTCAGGATCATTTGATGGACATCCTGATCTTTTCTTAGTGAAAGCAGGGCCAGGTGTTTATTCTCCATTGCTTATCCCCCCGTAAATTTACTATTCAACATCATCTTAATAAAAGTGGACTTGTTTATGACATTATACAATACATCTGTAGTTATTTAACAAGATATCCTTACTTTAGAGCAGTAACAGTTTACTAGTAATATCATTTATCCCATACCCGTGCCGATTTTGCGACTACATACAAATGGTATTGCACAGCCGTGCATATATTTTGACGTGACGTCATTAGCATTATATAAACAAAGTGTAAAGACACGCTAAATGTTAGCGTTATACTATAGGTGCGTCAATGAAAAATGACTCTTTTTTCACTTTAAACGGTCTTTATTTTGGGCACGTGATAAAAAGAATATTAAATTCATGTAAGTTTATTACTTAATTTATTGAACTTGTTGAATAAAATAATATCATGCTTGCCAGAGGCTCGCATAAAATAATTTTTATTTAACTTATGCAATAAATTCAGTATTGAACGTACACTCATTCCATATCCTATCTTTAGTGCACTTAGGTGATGATGATATGGGCTTTTTATAGCTGATCAACATACTGATCTTGATCCCCTAAATTTGACCCACATTTCAATCTGATTATAGCAACTTCCAAGCTTTAATGGCACAAGCAGACACCTGAGGAGAGCAGCCAACCCTCCATGAATTTTATTGGGCAGCAATGTTGAAGGTCATCAACTTAAAACCACTTGTTCCATCACTGCTGATGGTTCGAATCCCACTAGGGATTTTGTATTCTAACATGTGAAGAAGCTATCTAGCTAGATTACAAAATGTCAGTGGTTCTATTCAAGTGCATTTTGTGCCTGAAATAATGTGTGAAGGGGCACTTGAGCTGAAAAATATGACCTCTACCGTGTTGGTGCAACCGAAAATCAATATATGAGCCGCGCCATGACAAAACCAACATAATTCGTTAGTGTCCAGCATGGATCCAGACCAGCCTGTGCATCCGTGCAGTCTAATCAGGATCCATGCTATTCCCTATTAGTTTCTCTACTTGTTATAGAGTTTGTAAGCGAACAGCATGGATCCTAATCAGACTGTGCAAATGCCTAGGCTGGTTTGGATCCATGCTGGTCGCAAACCCATTATGTTGGTTTTGTCATGGCGCGGCTCATATGCTGAAAAGATGAGGTTAGCCAAGACACCAGTATAAAGACATGAAAAAGACAAGCTATTCCTGGGAAAGAATCTAAATACATGATGACGCCAGATTCACCTGCGAAGCAATCTAAATACATGACAAGGACAGAATATATCTGGGAAATACCCCAAAGTCAAGATAAATTCTAGAGTTTAAATTCCTGATAAATAAACAATTTACCTGTGAAAAAATGTCTAAATACATGATAAAGATGGGATGTACCTTTGAACCAGGCTAAACACATAAAGAAAGAAGAGTATTCCAGGGAAAAGTCTTATTATATTAAAAGACAAGATATACCTGAAGCCAGGACAGCTCCACAACGACTAAAGCTAAGTGAGTAAACAGTACTTGTATGGTCCCTCATCTGTGCCAACATATTGCCATTCGACACATCCCACAAGCAAATATTTCCATCTAAGCCTAAAACAAATAAAACACATGTAACATAGACTTGAATTTACACTTCGACTTTAATAGGTTCAAATTGTATTTTCATTGTTTTTTAAGTGTAACTAGATGGGTTTTATGTGGGTTTTCTTCTATGTCCTACCCTGAAGGCCAGGTAACAGTTATATATTAAGCTTTGAATTTGGAGCAGCCTATCTCTATAAATGTCTAGAAAATTCCTGCTACTCTCACTTTTCAAAATCTATAGTCTTGTGTGACACCATATTTTGGCCCTACCACTAACAAAGTTCTATGCTCCTGCGTTTATGAATAAATTATGCAAATGAGCCGCCATGTTGGAGTTTCGGTAAGCGTGTTGGAAATTGCTACCTGTTCGTTTTGAAAGCTCGTCCTAACTTACAATTTCCTTGAATGTATGAAAACTTGGTTTTGTTTGATTGCATATTGAATGATAGGTATTGCAAAATAAATATAATGAAAATCGATCAATAAAGTCAATTTAATTCGTCAGAATAATAAGGTTCTGTTGCAGGGTATCGGTAAAAGACTGCTTTTTTTCCCATTTTTGAAATTTATTTGAACACGGAGACAATTTTTCTCAAACAGATTTATGAATATACTTTACGTTGCAACAGAGTTTACCGTGTGTCCATTCCTTATTTAAATTGTCTAAGAAGTTAAATCTGTTTGTTTACATGTAAATGTGTACCGTCATTTTGACCGAGTGGAATAAAAACTACCATGACGGTGATAATACCGGATATGTAATGAAAATTACGCCGTGTAGTGCAAAGTTTTGGACATTGCAATTAAAATTAACACTTACGTTGACTCAAACTGTTCCTTGTCAGCAAAATTGAAACCGAAAGTAGAGGTTGTTCTAGAATCTAATCGAATAAAATGGGTGGGATTTAACCACCGCGCATGCCCTGTGCGAACGTATTGTTTACATCCGGTCGTAGCATAGGGTAAGAGTGCAAACTTTGTTAGTGCCTACATTGGATGTGTAAGTTAGTCCTTAAAGGGACTCCACTGATGCCTAAAAACACTAAATTTGAATTTCTTTCATAGTTGAGCTGGGGCACTTAAATCAGAAAGATATGCAAAAGATAATTAAGAAATATACTCGGAAATAAGAAGAAAATCGTACTTTCTGCTAGTCTCAGCTCAATTTGCATGAAAAACGTTGCAAGGCTTTTAAATTTTAGGTCATTCTTTATAATTAGTATAATCATCCTGGAAAAATGGAAAATCATGAACATTATTAGTCAAGACCTACATCAACTGAAACATCTCGAAAAAAATTATTTCAAGTCCTGTCATGTCAAAAAACCTTAGCAGAGTCTTCTTACTATTAAAGAGTCTATAAAAATGAAGAAGAAAAAATCTGAGCACACTTTATACTCATAATTAAGAAATAATAATAACAATATCCCAAACAATGACTTAATCGCTAAATAAAATCAATGTTAGAGTTGGATGGGACGAATTATATCACGAGGATGTAGCCTGATAAAGCGATAAAATCACTGATTGGGACATACTATTTCGATTCTAACACAACATCAACAAATAAATGGTGCTGTATCTGTTATCAACTTAATTGCGCCTGATTTGTTTCCTTACTTATTTTCAGCGTGTTGTATTTTTAATTGTTACATCACATGTCTAGATATAGAATGTCAAACAGTGATTTTAATGCTTAATGACACACACTTTCGGTCTTTCTATTATCAATAGGGAAAAATGCAAGTCATGTTAGAATATGATATATAAAAGATTTTTATAATTACCTGACGATGCCAATGTTAGAATATGATATATAAAAGATTTTTATAATTACCTGACGATGCCAATGTTAGAATATGATATATAAAAGATTTTTATAATTACCTGACGATGCCAATGTTAGAATATGATATATAAAAGATTTTTATAATTACCTGACGATGCCAATGTTAGAATATGATATATAAAAGATTTTTATAATTACCTGACGATGCCAATGTTAGAATATGATATATAAAAGATTTTTATAATTACCTGACGATGCCAATGTTAGATTATGATATATAAAAGATTTTTATAATTACCTGACGATGCCAATGTTAGAATATGATATATAAAAGATTTTTATAATTACCTGACGATGCCAATGTTAGATTATGATATATAAAAGATTTTTATAATTACCTGACGATGCCAATGTTAGAATATGATATATAAAAGATTTTTATAATTACCCGACGATGCCAATGTTAGAATATGATATATAAAAGATTTTTATAATTACCTGACGATGCCAATGTTAGAATATGATATATAAAAGATTTTTATAATTACCTGACGATGCCAATGTTAGAATATGATATATAAAAGATTTTTAAAATTACCTGACGATGCCAATGTTAGAATATGATATATAAAAGATTTTTATAATTACCTGACGATGCCAATGTTAGAATATGATATATAAAAGATTTTTATAATTACCTGACGATGCCAATGTTAGAATATGATATATAAAAGATTTTTATAATTACCTGACGATGCCAAGTATTTGCCATCTGGTGAGAAACAAAGGCTATGCACTGCCCCCTGAAATGCATTAACATAGTATATCAAAATTTTATTAGATTGAATTGCATTAGATTGAAGTACATACAGGTACTCAATTTATCTAAAAACACTGTGATATAGTGCAACGCACAATGTTGGAAAATGAATCAAAATGTACAGCACTTTGTGTTATCAAAATGTACGTACCCTGAAAATATCTAAATGTACACTACCTCTAAATATATCAAAATGTGCACTACTCCTTAAATATCAAAATGTACACTACCCTAAATATACCAAATTAAAAGGTCCTGATGAAGATCATTGTAATGATTGAAACTATAGTAGACTTTTATAAATAATTTTAACCTATAAGGTGGTGACGTGTGGTTTCTCTTAGTCCTACTCTACCTGTAGTTTAAATTAAAATGCAATCTAACTATCAAAATTCACAATAACCTGGTTTTACCAAAAACTACAGTACCCTGAATCTTTCTTAATGTACAGTTCCCTAAATTTATAAAAATGTACAGTATCCTGAATATATCATAATGTACAGTACCCTCCAAATATACAGTTCCCTCAAATTTAGCAAACTGTACAGTACCCTGAATGTATCTAAATGTACAGTTCCCTAAATTTATCTAAATGTAAGTAACCTGAAAATATCAAACTGTACAGAACACTGAATTTATCTAAATGTACAGTACCCTTAAAATGTCAAACTCTACAGTACCCTGAAATATTAAAAGACACAGAACCCTGAATGTACCAAAATGTACAGAAGTCTGAAAATATCAGATAATATGTGTGTCAAATGGTTTTTCTGAAGATACTTATCCAAAGTTAGAGAAATTATGAATTAAATCAAAGTCAAACTAGACAATAAAGACTAAGCTATAATACACAAGCACTGTTAATCAATACCTTATGTCCAGTAAGTGTTCTTACACAAGACCCATTCAGGACGTCAAATATCCTTACAGTTCTGTCGCTGGACCCTGTGGCAACATAATTACCATTGGGATGAAATTGCACACTCTGTAATGTAAATGATTCAGAAGATGACTATCACCATCTGTTGTTTTTTTTTTCGTTTTTGCGTTTGTTAATGTCACACCTAAACAGTCAATGGTGACTTTCCAGCTATACTGCTGGAGGAAAACATCAGGTGCCCCTCTGTGCATAAGGCACAAATGGGAACCTAAGTAAAAGTAAGATAGCTGGATTATAGGATATCTGCCTCACATGAAAGATTCTAAAGTCCCTGACATCACTTTCTAAAAGCAGACAGTAAAACATTAAATCAATCAAACCTGTTTATACCTTTGTCCTTGCAGAATGGCCTTGACCTCTACACAATATTAGTTTCAGAAAGCTTAGAATTTGAGGCAATGTATGTGAAAAACCTTGCAATGAATCACTGATTTAGTTTATATCGGATTCATTTCAATTATGTAGACAGCTATTAACTTACAGACAAACTAGTCTGATGTGTTAACCAATGATTAACACCGCCAAATAAATTACTGATTAATAGTGTAAATAATTACAGAGCTGGTACAAAATTTGTATGTACATATTTCAAAATGAATGTATGTGTATTTTGTAACAAACTCACGTCAACATCTGAAAAATGTCCCCCAAATATTCGGATAGGCTGGTAGTGATCTGTTGTCCAAAGTCTAGCAACCCTGTCATTTCCACCTGATACAAAATAATGACCATGTGGACTGAAATAATAAAATCAAATTTATGACGACTTAAAAATAACAATTTTTTTTTAAATAAACTGAAATTTCCCAATATATCCAGCTAAGTTTTCAAGGACTGTTTGGGTACAACTTTTTCTGATCACTGTTTTTCATATGTGTGATTAAATTTATTTTGTTTATGGATGCTTTCTTAAAAAGATTTTTTAGTGCTTTACTGTATTGAGGAGAATTATTTCAATACAATGTATTTTCGAAATAGATGAGTGCTTCATACCCTTGCATCAAGGGTTTGAGTTTAACTTTATTTTCCTGAAACTGTACTCTGGGCCACAACCTTTTTATTCTATTATTGAAAAAGAAAAGTGCTTTCTATAACAAGAGCTGTCAGAAGGACAGCATGCTTGACTATTCTCAGAGCTTGATATTAAAACCAAAGCCTGGATAATGTTTAAAAAGGGCTGTTATGCTGTCTTTGTTTCTAAGGCCTAAGATCATTGTTTATATGGCACGAGTTCTGGGATTTTTGGTTACAATCCCTAACTAAGATTAATGATTTTATGGCCCAAGATCATTGTTGATATGGCCTGATATCATATTAGATTCTATTAAGCCTAAAATCAGTTTACGTGATCATTGTTCATATGGCCTTAAATCATTATCTATATGGCATAAAATCATTGTTTATATGGCATAAAATCATTGTTTATATGGCCTAAGATTTTTGTTTGTTTCATTTTACGCTGTTTCCCAACAGTATTTCAGTCATATAGGCGGGTAGTTTCCTAACCATCGTTCCTGGAGAGTTACACTAGTACTAGACTACCTTCCTCCGCGCTAAACTACCAAAACATCTCCCGGGGATCGAACCCACGCCAGAGAGGTAACTAGATTAGAAGTCATCGACTCTAACCCCTCGACCACAGAGGCGGTCATATGGCCTAAAATCATTATCTACATGTATATGACATAAAATCATTGTTTATATGGCCTTGAATCATTGTTAACATGACACACATTCATTTTTTTTAGTATATAAATTATCATTCTATGGGCATCGATAACATGACAAAAAGTCACTGTTAATATGACAAAGTCATTGTTCGAAAAAAAAACATGGTTTACATGGCACAAAATCATTTAGAAATTTCAGCTAAAAATAAGATATTCACCTGAATTTCACATCCCAAACTGGCGCGTTGTGACCTTTGTATGACACTAAATTTGTCCACGTCTGAAGGCTCCATAACCGTACTGAAATACATGAAAGTCATGTAAGTCAAACAAGATTCCATCAGATATAAATACGAGGGTTGTCCCAAAAGTCCGTGACAAATTTTATAGCCGGTTCATTTTTAACGCCAATAGAAAATAATTCATACATATAACCGTTAAGTTTATTATTTAACATTACAACAAATCATTTACAAAAAATTTACCTTAGTTACTTAGAAATTTTCAGTATTAACGACATTGGTTTGAGTTGTCGGCGCACGTCAAATAATTTACATTTTGTTATGAATAGGCTGAAATTAATTACATATATTTCAAATATCTGATGATGTGTCTGCACAATGTCACGTTGACTTCCTCTGCTGCTATGTTTAAATCATCTCTGAAAATTTTAGTTAAATAACTTAAAAAACGAAAAAGATACGAATAAATGAAAATATCTCATATAAAATGGGAAAGTTAAAATGGCGACGTTCGAAGAATTTGCGGCGCAGTGAACATGTCACTCAGGTTTCATGACTATTGCGAGAAAACACATGTAACGATTTTCAACAAATATACCAAATATAACAGTTTAGCAACATATTCTAAGCAATTGTGTACAAAAGGCATGAACGAAACTAGAGTTTTGCTCTACAAAAAGCGAAAATAAGGATAACACGGATAGGAAGGCCGATCTTCGTCGCCTTTTTCCTACAGCTAAAAACAGGAGTAACGAGACCGGAAGTTCGCGTATAGCAAAAATTAATGTATGCCATCAAAACATTCAACAGACATTAACAACCACATGATTTAAGTCAGAAACTGACGATTTATTGGTACCATTATTGCGTTGAAAGCCATTGAGAGTATTTGAGAAAGGCGCCTTATATAGATTTAACGCCGTCTTTGACGTTGGACGTGCGCCGCGATTCAGTTAGTTTCCATGGTGTTTATGGCATATTTTTGTTGTTTGTTGATATTTATCTCTGAAAATTTGTGAAAATGTTGAAATGATATGGGTTTATAACATATTAAAATATCAAATTCGTACCCGTTTCATTTAGCTTTTAAGCAATCTTGTCACAGAATATTGGGACAACCCTCGTATACCTATATCAACATTCTACGTGGGTCAAACTGGACAAAGATATAAATAACCTTCTTATTAATTGTATTTCAATATTGTTCTCCTTTGCCTAATTTCTACAACAAGAGGGGTGATTGCATAGTGGTTTAAAGAGAATTGTTGGCTAGAGCTTTTCTTGAGTATTCAAGAAATAGGATGAGCTATTGAACACACCTTTGTAATACTCCAGTTGTTCTAGTAATTTCAACCCATTACCTTCAGTAGTTTTGGAGATACCAACTTATACACAAACAAAACAACCCGAGTGTGACAAATGTGTGTTCAATAGCTCTCCCTATTCTTGAGAAGTATTCATGTTTCGACATTATGAACAAGTACTGGAGAGGGATGGACAATAGCACACTAGGACAATAGTTGTCCTCCCCACCAGCCAAATTTAGCAGTGGGCTATTGTCCCATTGGACTATTGTCCTAATGCGCTACTGTCCTAGCAAGCTTTTGTCCTAGTGGGGTATTGGCCTAGTGGGATATTGTCACAGCGGGCTATTGGTCTAATTGACTATTTCCCTAGTGGGCTTTTGTCCTAATGGGCTATTTCCCTAGTGGGCTATTGTCCTAATGGACTACAGTCGACTCTCGTTATCTCGAAGTCATCGGGACCGTCAAAAAAATATCGAGATAACGAAATGTCGAGATAAACATATTAGGGTTTGAATAATGCAGAAACTGATTTTTACAAAAAAAAAAAAAATGTGCATACCTTATGTCAAATAAATTATGATACCCCCATGTCTTGTTTTCATAGGCCTAGTCAATATTTAACAAAGGAACATTTGCGGATGTTAAGCAGCGGAAATACGGGTGTCTGTGATAAAAACACATAGTGAGGTTTACTAGTAATACATCAATATAGTGATTGGTGGTTGATCCGGATATCCTCCCGGGTAATTTATCGGGTCTTCTCGAGATTGTTCGACCGCAGATTGATTTGGAGGTGATGTTGTGATACAATATTGCAACGATAGAGTTTTTATACTTTCACTTTTTCATTTACATTTAAAGTCATAATGAATTGATACAGTGTTTTACGAATATTTATAAAGAACGTAAAATTCACTCATTTTGAACATAAGTCAATAAACACGCTAATTATTAACTTTTAAAATAACAGCTAAACTTGTTACAAACATAATCATCATTATGACACGCTCTATTGAGCAATTATCGTTAGTGTTTTTCACAAGTCTGAAGGGAATAGATGAAAGAAAACTATTAGTCGAGATAAACAAAGGATAATAGTGTGAAAATAACTGTTGGGGCTGAAATTTTACATCGAGATACTGAAAATATCGAAATAAAAATATCGAGATAAACAAATATTTTCAATATAGATAAAAAAGAAGAAAATTGGGACTTTCAAAATTGCATCGAGATAACGAAATATCAAGAAAAGCGATGTCGAGATAACGATAGTTGACTGTATTTCCCTAATGGGCTATTGTCCTAATGGGCTATTTCCCTAGTGGGCTGTTAACAGCACTTGAAAATGATTGCACAATGACTTGCCAATGACTTAAGGAAGTTCAAGGTGAATAAAAGGAAGTTCAAATAATCTCCTAAATTCCATCATGATTGAGCTACCATAACACTTGACCTCCAATAGGCCTTAGTCACCAGTATTGAGCTAGGGCAGCCTCTATACATTTGGTAGCTCCATGTTAATACTGAGATAGGAATCTTTTTAAACTTGGAATGGACTGTTCCAAATTAAAGTGACATTATGTCCATACAAGTCAGTGAAAAGAAGAAACTGAAAATAAATTGACATTTTTCCATAATTGTGTTCAATTTCATACTTAACTATGACAAAAATATAATTCACTTGACCAAAGGAAATTTCTATATATATAAATACTGTTCAGAATGGACCAGTAATGCTCAATTCTTCAAAAGAGTGGGGCAGTCTTTTTATAATTAAGGTAAGTTTTATATTGTATTATAGTTTTATATTGTATTATAATACACTTTTTATAATCAATTATTGGTCAGTTACCATAATAAAAGTCAATCTTTTGAAGTATATTACTAATTCAACTCAACTTGAAAGCGAAAAATGTGCATATTGTCACTTTAAAAGCTGGTCAATTGTCAATTCCATTACACAAATTCATCAAGTTAAGGGATAATTAAGTTATATCATTCCTCTTACATTACAGGTTCATTATAAAGCAGGGAAGTGTTATTCTTCGACACAAACACTCACCTGTGCCATCTTCGGAACAGGATGTGAGGTAGCTTCTATCGGGAGAGAAGCTCGTGCTGTAAACCGGCCCGCTGTGTCCTACCAACAGTTTTGTATCTTCAGATGTTCGCTCATCCATCATTCTCTCCAATACGTCATCTGAAAATAGAAAATGAACGGAAAAACGTTTGTTAGAATCTGTGTCATAAAACTGCTGCTTATGAAAATAAACACTTTAAAAACTATTACGTTAAGCAAAAAAGACTTTTGTTTTAACAACATTCTATATCAAATCCTCTTTACTATGAAAATGCATAACCTCAAGAAAATGTAGTATATATAGACCTTGAATTAGTGCGAGACTTTTTTGTTTAGTTTTAACCACCAGAGGCTCAACAATTGAGCACTTGAGAAAATGAGCACATGACCAAACTGAAGGAAATTACTTTTGAGTTTCATCCATTTAAAGACATTTTTCCTGCATTAACAAATTTATTATGTTGCAACCACACTGAAAACTATCTTGGATTTTTAATCAGTACTTCAGAGAAGGGGTTTTCAATCAGTACTTCAGAGAAAAACAGCAGAATCTTAAGGTAGAATCAATCAGACAAAATTTCAAAAAATATTTTGATTGTTTCTAAGGGGAAAATAGCTTGTGTTTTTTTTTTCTGGTCTTTTTTATGGGGTGGGGGTGATTGGGGGTCAAAACAACATCTGTTTTACATGTGGTATCATTTCACTGGTAAATTAAATAAATAATAAGAGCTTTCATTAGACTGTGCGCTTGATTATTTTTAGTACATGACAGTAAGAAAAGGACCATAACTCTGTAAAAATGTACGTCAGAGTTATAGGGCCTATCAGTGTGTGAAATGTCAACCAATTAAATTCAGTAGTTTTGGAGATACCAACTTACACACAAACAACCTGAGTGTGACAAAGGTGTGTTCAACAGCTCTCCCTATTCTTGAGATAATCAAGCTAAAAAACATTGTAAGTTCTGAAATAATAAGATCTAACAGTCTCAATATGGGGCTACTAAGTTTTTTATTTACTTTCAATTTCATTTCACTTGCAAGCATTCTGGAAAGCAGTTTTAAGACATTTATTTAGTAATTAAGGATAGACATGTAAATCTTTTTTTAAACAGCTTATCACAAAACCTTATTTTCAATGAAAAAAATATAAGATATAAGACATTTATTTCAAACCAATCAAAAGTCTGCATAGAACATAAATGTCTGTTAAAAGTTGCCTTGCTGTCCATTATTTAAGACCAAAGCTGTACCAGAGTAGAACTATCAACCTTTCTATAAGCTAGCTGGATAGCTTCCGCACATAAAACCATCCAAAGTCCCTTGCTGAATTCAAATGCACATCAGTAATTGTCAAGTGCTTCCAAATCATTGATCTTAACACCTTAACTACAGAGCCCCCTAACACTCACCACACTCTCCTCTCCCCCACCCATAACACACACGGTACTCACCTACCCCCCACCCCCCCTACCCTTTCATGCCAAATATGAAATTAGTCACATGACTGTATGAAGTTACGTCAACAAGTACCTGCTTCCTTATCGATGATTTCCAAACTCTCTAATTGCTTCATACTTCGGAGTTTATTTGGCGTAAGTGACCAGATCTTGATGTTTGAATCGCCAAACCCTGTGCACATCAGACTGGAGTCTTCAGATATTTCAACGGATGTTAAACTGCACAAATTATACAACATACACATGAAAAATGAGTTCAGAACATAAGAATATAATAACCTAATGGTGTGAACACTAAAGAATAATGCTGCAAACACCAAGAAGAGCCATGAAGGGCGTCTTTTAGTGATGTTACTTCACATCCTTTGTTTTGTTTCTAATTCTATGTGTAATAAGTGCCGCTGAAGAAGGCCGAAACACGGTAAGCTACAGCTTTTATAATTATATACCGCAAATAAGAAATTTTATTTAACGATACCCCTCTTTATCACACATGGTGACACCTGTGCCGATTTTGCGATTCCGTAAAAATGGTATTACATGGGCGTGCATTTATTTTGATGCGACGTCATTTGCGTTATACAAACAAAGTGTTAAGACACACTAAATGTTAGTGTTACACTATAAGCGCGTCAATAAAATAAGAATTGTTTTTCACTTTAAACAGCCTTTATTTTAAGCATGTGATAAATAGAAAATCAAATTTGTGTAAGTTCATTCCTAAATTTATTGAACTAGTTGAATAAAACAATATTATGCTCACCAGAGGCTTGTATATTATAACTTTATTCAACTGGTTCACTCATTCAATATCATTTAATATCCTCTAATTTATTTGTAAAATCATGGTCAAATAATCTATATAGATCTTAAATTAAAACAAGAGCTGTCCGTAAGACAAGAACACGCTTCTATAATCAGTTCATGACAGTTAGAAAAGCGCAAAAAGATAACTCTGAGTTATGAGATCTGTGCACATCATGTAAGATAATCATGGGGAACAAGTGTGTGAAATTTCAACCCAATTCCTTCAGTAGTTTTGGAGATGCCAACTTGCATGCAAAAACTTAAGTGTGAAGGCAATGCGGACACTGACCCTGGGCATAGTACAACTGAGCTTTTCTTATTCTTCCAACATGCCTGATAGTTAAAAAGAGCTTTGGTAATGTAAAATTTTCATATTTCAAAAAAGGGTTGTTTTTTTCAAATCCTTGTTTTAGTTATTGGCCTTGGAGAGAGTCCTATAATGCATTCAAAGAAATGTATACAATTTTAACCCATTTCAAAGCCAGAATAGATGTAATAGAATATGAAAATATTTGAGGTGGTATGCAAACTTTAACATAAAGTCGAAAAAGGGGTGTTTTTCTGATAAAATGTTTGATAGGGTTACCTACTCCTGTCTTAAGGTTGGGAGCATGATGGTGAACAAGTGTGCAATGTTTCAAAGCCATATGTCAATAGAATTTGAAAACATTTGAGGTGGTATGCAAAATTTAACATAAATTTCTAATAGAAAAAGGGGCATCATTCCGTCAAAATGCTTGAAAGAGTTACCATCTTCTGACTACAGATTGGGGGCATGATGGTGAACAAGTGTGCAAAGATTGAAAGTCATATGTCAATAGATCCAAAATTTACTCTCATCCAAACCTCTTAAAAAGTGTATATTATCTGCTGCCAAAATTATTGTTTCTGTTGTTAAAAAGAATACTTTCAATATGTCTGTACAAAAGAAAAACATTAGTATATAATTATATTGGCCTAAAAGCAAAAAGAAGCATACAAAAACCATTGCTAAGCTATTAAACATCATAAAAATATAAGAACCTAAACGTTTGTCATGGAACATTTTATTAAAAGCATCACATGGCCTACCTAACAAATGTAAATGACTTTACTTACCCCTGTACAGCATTATGAAATGTGTAGAAGCATATAGAAGGGGGAGAATTGGGTCCTATTTTCACCCTCTTTAGGGCCTCTCTGTATGCATTAATCTTTTCCATTTTATCATAGTCCTTCCTGTAAAAGTCAGAGAAAGAAATATTTTTATTAATATCTCATTGTCTTGTATTTCAGTTTTTTCTTTGTTTGTTAGTGTTTGTCAGGTTTTTACGCCAATTTAAAAAAACAATTTTGGTCATATCTTGGAGATTTCCTGTTCCAACCAGCAATCCTGAATTATTAATGTGTAATTACCAATTTTTCTGCAAGTGAACAGCTATTGATCCTCCATGATTTCTGAATCAGTAGTGAGAGACAAATGACCAACATACTTGAAGTCAGAGATCAGTCGTCACAAAAAATTGCGTCGCCTAAACCCCCCCCCCCCCACCCAAGGATCAAACCAGTGACCCCTGTACTATAGATTTGATGTTCTTCCTATTGAGCTTGCATTTCGGAATAAAACATATGAGTAACAAATGCTGATATACTAGGGGAGCTAGGTTAAATCTACTGGTTTAAACAGAGACATCAAAGAAAGGAAAATACCCTAAAAAGTTGTCATTGTATCTGACATTTCAGAATAAAAATTGAGAAGTCAGATTTGATAAAGGGGAGAGCTATTTTTCTAGTATACTGTAGAAGTCCAAGATAACAAAGTTATTAAATTTCATATTTTTTACATTTAAAAATTGTTTGGTTTTTTACGACGCACCAACACAACTTAGGTCCTATGGCGCCAAAAGTCTGAAAAGATGATTTTGGCTAACCTTGGGTGTTACAAACTCAAAGCAATACCAGGGTTCAAAAGCACCTCGTCTGCTGGAGTAAAGAGATACAGAGACTAGTAATTCGAACCCATTTAGTCGCCTCTTGTGATCACATAGGGATAAACAGTGGTTGTAATTCTGATGCAACCCATCAGCCACAACACGTTTTCAGAATTCTAATGCCTTAATCCTTCAAGGTCACCCCTTTGCCACAACACATTTTCAGAATTCTGATGCCTTAATCCTTCAAGGTCACCCCTTAGCCACAACACATTTTCAGAATTCTGATGCCTTAATCCTTCAAGGCCACCCCTTAGCCACAACGCATTTTCAGAATTCTGATGCCTTAATCCTTCATGGTCACCCCTTAGCCACAACACATTTTCAGAATTCTGATGCCTTAATCCTTCAAGGTCACCCCTTATCCACAACACATTTTTAGAATTCTGATGCCTTAATCCTTTAAGGTCACCCCTTAGCCACAACACATTTTCTCTACCACTTAAACCCAGACAATTTGGTTACAAAACCTACAACTAGAGTGGTTAAAGTTGCAGTCTTGGTCAATGACCTATAACTATGACAGTGTCATTCTGACCAGGTTTTATACAGTAGGTATCTAAAGTTTTGTATTTTGAAATGGAAATCCATTAAAAAATTGGAAAGGACTGTACTTTATCACATAAAACGCGGCACAGGAGTGTAATTAAGCCATTTGATAAAAACGATATTACACTAGTGTAATAACACTTTGACGTGACGTCATTTGCGCTATATAGAAACATAGCGTTAAAGCGCGCTAATGTTAGCGTTACACTATAGGCGCGTCATTGAAAAATTACTCATTTTAACAGTTTACTATTCTTATTTTATATATGTGATAAAAAGAATATTATATTTGTGCAGATTCAATACTAAATTTATTGAACTTGTTGAATAAAACAATATTATGCTCGCCAGAGGCTCGCATAATATGATTTTATTCAACTTGTTCAATAAATTTAGTATCAAACTACATTCATTTAATATCCTCTATATAAATGTAAATCTGGACCAATTTATTACACAAACTCAGAAGATCAAGGGTTAAATACTCACAATTCAGGCATGGGTATTCTGGTAGATGCAGGAGCATTTGGGTCATTTCTTGCTTTCTTCATCATCAGTGGGTCTTTCTTCTGCTTCTTTTTCTATAGGGAGACAAAATAACATTCTTACACACTAAATACACAGTAAATACACAGAATCACACTCAAAGAATTACAATACAAAAATAATGAAAATATACAAAACTAACTATTAAAATTTACAATCATAACACATATCAAATAACTACGCAAATATACAATGATCACACAAATATACAATATTTACACAAAAACATAATACACAATAATTATGCATAAAATTATATACAATATTTACACAAATAAATAATACACAATAATTACACAAATATACAATAATTACACAAATAGATAATACTTGTTATATTTATGCAAATGTACAATAATTACACAAATACATAATACACAATATTTATGCAAATATACAATAATAACACAAATACATAACACACTATAATTATGCATATATACTATATTTACAGTTGCATGTATACAGGTATCAAGTGAGGTAGCGTCTGTTCCCTACTGCCAAATATGGTAAGCATGATGCAATCGATGAGTGTGTAATGTACATAATGACCTGAGTAAACTGGATTAAGACTTGTGTTAGATTATTTTTTATTTTAAATTATCGAGTGCCAACGGAAGATTTTTTTAGGCAGCATTTTTTTTTTATTTACCTTTCTATGGCTGCGTGAATACTACGGCAAAATATTGATACCAAACCAGAAAAAGCTTTGGATATGGATTTGTTTAACTTTTTAAAGTATGATATTTATTTTAATAATTTGAATGCATCAAATTCAAGTTTATTTTATACCATAATGATTTAATTTAAATCTTAATACAAAAAATAAAATTAAATTTTATATGATATACATGCAAATATATTTGTTTTACAGGGATTCTTATTTTATTTACATCAAAACTTTTAAGAATACCTATGTTTATTTGCAATTGGTTAGATATTGTTCCTTCACACAGTTATGTATGTTAAGTCAAAATGGTATAAAGACAGGTATAGATGGTATTTAAATTTTAATTTTCTTTGAGACTGTAATAAGAGACTCCCTGTCATATGTGACCTTTTTCTGAAGATCCCTTGGAAAGTCACATATGACAGTCTCAACTGTATTAAAGGCCATCTTTTGCATCTCTTGCTTTTTGGCAGTACTAGTCCAGTTATAGTGAAGTAGTACATGTATTTTGTATGGAAGTCAAAATACTACATGTATGTCTAGGTATATTGTAATTAATGAGTGGAGAAAATCTGTAAGAGGCTGGATATCTCAGTTGGTGGAGCTAGGGGAATGGTCAGACTGCACATTTGTCTCACTCTGTGACTGTCAACTCATCCTTGAACCAACTTTGCTTGAAAAATTGCTTGAGCTGTACTGTACTTGTTTACATTTCGCTACTTTTATGACAAATAATTGCACATTTATTGCTACTTTCTTAAAGGTAACAAGCATCTAACATTCTCTAAAACCTTTACATAAACATAAAACTCATGTTTGCCCTTTCTAAAGAAGTAAAAATTAATTTGTTTCTAAGGCATAATGTGCCTTTAAATTTCCATTAGGCTGATTAACATGTATTCTTAAAGACTTATTGAAATATGGCAACCCTAATAACATGTTGAACTGTGTCTGTAATTTTGTAACTTGTAAATCGAAAAGTTGCGATTGGTTCATTATCAGAATACTCGTTGTTTATCATTGCCTTACGGCGCCCAACATGAAATGATACTGAAACGTTCACTGATAGGTATAGAATTCTATATATTTTTACATTTTTTTTTTTAAAATTTAATTTCCTTGTAAACATACATGTGTAGTCTATACCCAGGCAAATCAAAGCCCTGGATTGCGACTTCCCAGTATAAATAGATTGCAAAAAACCATATTCCCCTAATTTTTTTTTAAATATTTCTGTCTATTTCTTTACTTGCAATTATATATCCAGCTCAATAATTGAGAGCACCTCATGCAGTGTTAACATTCATCTTTTAGTTCATACAAATTTATTTTAGTTCCATTGTGTTGGAAGCTGAAGCTTATTGAAACACTCTCGAATCCGTTCCTGGAACCAACCAGTACTAAGCAATGAATGTAAAGTTTCTTGCTTAAGGAAACAACGGCTTGCCCCTGACAGGGTTTGAACCCATGCGGTCAGCAATCCTTAGATTACTAGTCAGACACGTTAACCACTCGTTCACGCCGCCATTCATTTTTTCAATCAGAATTGAATTCTTTGAACAATTTTTAAAGATGACCACCAAAGGAACATTCCTGAGAAGTTTGGATGAAATTGGCTAAGTGATTTTTAAGGAGATGTCGTTTAAAGTAAAAATTTACGGACAATGGACGAAAAGCGGTCACAAAACCTCACCATGTCACTTTGTAAAGTGACAGGTAAGCTAAAAAGGGGCATAACTCCTAAAATATTACTTTCAGGTAACTACCCTATAGATCTTCCAGCTGTTCCTTGTCAAAATGAGCAAGTACATGTATTCCATTTTCATGCTAATACCTTAAGACTTTTTTTTCCGAACAGACAAGCTAATAACTTATGAATAAACAGGACCATGGACAGGACCATGGAAGAAAAAACAAAACAGGACAAAAGAAACATTCGTCATCTTTTATTTCTGTCCATTTCTACAAGTAAAACAGGACATTTGAGCAGAACTGGTATAACAATTATTGATAAAACAACAAACAGTGAAAATGAGCAAAGGTATCCAACTATATCTGTAAATTGACCAATCACAATTGAGAAAGCCAGTTTTCCCAATACTTCAACAGTTGCCATGGTAGTGTAATGGCTGGCCTGAATTGCACTTGGTGACCTCTGTGAACAGTACATCATGAGGGTGAAGGTCGTTGTCGTGACAACACCACTGCCAAGCAACAGCAGAAGATAACACAGTATGACACAAACTGAAAAACAAAGAAAAAAAATATATATAATAACTAAAAGGTATGAGATAATGCATATCAATTATACACTAACTTACTAAAATATTAAGAGCTATCTGTAAGACAGTGTTCGACTGTTCTCAGTACTTGACAGTTCAGAAAAGGAATTAACTCTTTTAAAAGGTAACTCAGAGTTATGGGACCTGTGCCTTTAATGTAAGATAATCACAGAGAACAAGTATTTTAAGTTTCAACCTATTCCCTTTAGCAGTTTTGGAGATTATCAGATACCAACTAGCTTAAACTTCACTATTCCCTTTCGTAGCTTTGGAGATATCAACTTGCTTAAACTTCACCATTCCCTTTCACAGTTTTGGAGATACCAACTTGCTTAAATTCAACATTCCCTTTCAAAGTTTTGGAGATACCAACTTGCTTAAACTTAACCAAAGTGTGACAGGGCTGCTCACACTGAAGATCTTTTCTGTTGGAACAAGAAGATAAAGTGAAATGCAAAAGTTGCCATGCCAAACAAAGTTGTGATGATTTTTTTCGCAAATCTCAGAAACCTGACCATCCGGTCAAGGCCAATCATAGGGTCAAGGTCAAATTCAAAATAGGTCAAAATAAAACTCTTGGCAGCCAAAGGTATCTTGCGTGTACATATAAAGGCTGTAGCTTAAAGAAGGAAGGCCAAGGTTACATTAGTCAACAGAAAAACATTGGATTAATAAAAACAATTTGTCTCATCTGTTGATCAATGTCAGAAAAATATAAAAATCAAATCATTCCATCATTTAACTTGATACCACCGCCTACAAGTATAGAGCCAGGTCAGCCTTCATATCTATGCAGTCTGACCAGGCTCTATAATGTTGTCTTTCTTTGTTCTGTTGGGTGTTATATCACATAAACGTAAGGTCATGTGGTATTTCCGGGCCCC